GTCAGGGAGAAGAATCTGAGCCTATTGGAGAGGATAATGAGCTTGTGCCTTTTGAACCTTCACCACATGAAGGTGTTATTGGGAACCTGCTGGAGGACCTGATCCGCCTTTGGAGGATCCAACTCCGGGTCCTTCTAAGGAACCCCAGGCCAGTATTGACCCTGCTCCCTCTCCTCATTTAGATGTTGAGCCTCTAAGTGCGATTCTGCCTGAGATAAGCCCTGTATGATCAAAAGGAGGATAGTGAAGAAGATTCGGATGACTTACCAATTGCTAGTCTGCCTAGGCGTAGAGTAACTGTTGATGAAGAGACAACTCCTAAGCGACCCACAACAAGGTTGCAAAAGAAGGAGGCTCTTGAGTCCCTCTTAAGAACAGTCAAACTAAGTCAAGGAGAAGAAAATTAGTGAATGATGGCAAAGTTGTAAATGAGAAGATAGTGCCTGTTATGAATATGGATGAAGAAGAAGTGAAGGAACCTAGTATGTTGACTAGGAAGTTATCACAAAAGCATGGTCTTCTCAAGCCAAAAGGGGGATCTTGTGTGTCTGCTAAACGTCTTACTAGGTCTACTGATGTTGTTGCTACTGAGAATGTGGAGAAAGAATCAGGTGAAAATCTGTGAAGTCTGATAAAAAGGAGAAAGTTGTTTGCAAGACTGCTAAGAGAAAGGTTGATACTGATAAGGAACCTGGTTCCTCAAAGAAGGCCAAAGTTGGTAATCCGAGGAGTGCTGGGAAAGAGAGATTGAGAAGTCAAAAGGTACTATGGGGGCGCATATTTGTCTCTGATGTCTTGGAGGAGGCTAGTATGAGACAGTTAGTTGAGATCTGTGATTTCCAAGAATGGACACACTGGTTCACAAGTGATGCTGCTAGGGTATATGAGGAGGAAGTTCAAAGTTTTTATGCCGACTTATACAAGGTTGAGGATGGTCACATTTGTGCCTTGGTGAATGGGGTTGATATGGTAATAGACTCCGCCTTGCTGGGATCTATTCTTGGTGTGCCTACTGAAGGGCTTTCTAGTGTTCAGGGAGCTTGTACTCAGAACTTCAAAAACGCAATCTTGAAGGAAAGAGCAGTTCAGTAGGGGGAACGGGTTCAGAAGAAGGCCCTCCTTCCTGTTTACCAACTGTTATTTGAGATGGTAAACAAAGTGTTGCTGCCTCGAGCTGAGTGAAGATCCATCACCTCTCATGCAGACCTGTTCCTTATGGAAGCGCTGGACAACTTCACTACCATCAATCTGCCTGGGATCATGATAGAGCACATGAATAAATTGGCAGACTTTAAAGATGGTAATCATGGGCTGCCGTATGGGTTCCTTCTTACCAAGGTCTTTGTCTCTTTGAGCACTTCAAGGTTCCTATCGGACGAGTTAAAGTGGGCGCCAAGAAGCAAACTTTTTCAAAAGGCACTCTTGATGAATGTGAGTGTAAACAGAAATTTGGAGGGGTTGCAAGCACTTCTCAGTTAATAAATGCTCAAAACAGTCTACCACTGAGATAAGGCAATAGAAAGCAAGGAATGTTATCCTTGAGACTCAGATAAGTCAACTGCAAGAGGCACCTGGTTCCAGTCGCTCTCAAAGCGAAGAGGTTGCTCGCCTGACAAAGGAGAACGCTGAGCTCAAGAAACAAGTGGAGGACCTAAAAGAAAGACAGCTCAATGAGAAAATGTCAGCAAATTCTCGAATGGATTTAGTTCTCCAAACAATTTCCTCTGCCTCCAAACCTTATCCTCCCCGTGCTTCTTAAAGTCTGTCCCCTCAATGTCCAAACTATAAACCAGTTTGTGCTCCTGTCTCTCCATGTCAATTCTTATGATGATAACTTGTGGTATTTTTGTTAATTCTTCTAATTTGTGGATGTGGAAGTAACATTGACTCTGCTCCTGTTGTAAAATCCAAAACTATGTTAATGCAAGCTTTTCCCTTGTTGCTGTTTATACCGTGCTTTTATGCTCTGTTCTTTATCATGACTGTGTGCACATAAGTGGAACGAGTTAACTTAAAACTAGACTTTCTTCTTGGTTAATTACCTATTTCTGATCTTTTTATGATGCCAAAAGAGGTAAAAATAATTGGCACTGCTTAAGGGGGAATGCAGAGATTCAGGGGGAAACTTAAGGTCTTTCTAGTTCACAGCCTGGTTCTATGTGGTTCTTTCTGAGTTTTTCAATTATGAGTTTGTCATCATCAATAATGGGGAAATTGATAGGTTACAAGTACTTTGGTCATAAGTACTTTGCTTTATGTTTTGATGATCTAACAAACTTACTATCCAGAACCAGATAAGGAACCTGTTACACATTTACAAGACCTTAAGATCACAAGGTTCCAGGTTGGGATCCAGCTTGCGTTATGATTCAACCCTTCAGAGTGGAAGGAACGGCTGAGGGAACAGGTCCCTACCAGTTCCCGAGGAGACTGTACGAATTCAACTCTCCAGCTGGAAAGTTTCTGCCTGCACACGCTACAATATAAGATCAGTGCAGCAGTCTCTTTTCAGGGAAGACTTTTTACCTACCTTGCTTACATCATTGTAAGTGATGTCACACATGTATATATACAATCAAGGAAGTTAAAACATATTGTCTTGAACACTTAGAGATTTCACTCAAGCTCACTCACGTGACCAATCAGCAAGCAAGTTTCAAGTGCTTCAAGAACAAAGAACAAAGCAACTGCGAACCAGTTCCCACATCGAGTCATTGTATGTCCTTAGTTGAGTTGTAACTTTGTAATAGTTCTTCAATTGTAATTCCTATCTAGCTTGTTTAGAAGCATTCTATAGTAATCCCTTTGTAAACCTTAAACCGGTGTGTTTGAGTCTTGGCTAGAGTTAGTCATGTTGTAAAGTCTTTGTAATAGAGTTATTACAAAGTGGCTTGTAATAGAGTGTTACAAGTTAGTGAGAGATTAAGAGGTTAATTCCTAGGTTGTAATCTAAAAGTTACTCAGTAGTGAAGTTGAAATCCTACAAGGGTAGGTCGTGGTTTTTATTTCCGTTGAGCTGGGAATTTTCCACGTAAAATTCCTCTTGCCTTTTAATTACTGATGTGTATGTGTGTGTGTACTGTTGAACCTGATAGAGAACCTGGTTCTCTATAGAGTTTGGTGGACCCTTATATTCTATCAAGGATACGTGATTTCACTTGACACAAACTAAGAAATATGAGAATTAATGCTAGAAATTAACTATAAAATAAAGCAAACCAATATGATGAGCGATTATGGCATTCGAGCTAGATCGCCCTCGAACAACAGAGTATGCTAAAAAAGTATGAACTGAACGGCAGAGCTTATGAGAGCTTAAGAGAAATATAGTATATTGCTTGATTATGCGTGAATATGACGTTTACAAAATGATTAGAACCCTCTTTATTAAGTAGAGGAATTCTACTTATGGTACAATTCTAAATACAGAAGGTAATCCCATGATTGGCTAAATGTCCGGTCTTGACTTGATACGTGCCGAGATTTCCATCACGATTCTTGCCCGGTCACGGATATCTCGCCTTTTTGTTATTCGGTTTAGCAAGCTTTCTTCGATCATGCTCGGTCCCTATCTTGCTTCGGTCTCGATCTTGATCGATCATCGACTCACGAGCTTAGCGACCCATGTCCGTGCCATGGTCCGATGCAAGGCGAGGCCGGGCCCTGGTCTACCATCCCGATTTCGATTAGCCATACGAAGTTAGAGAGGCCCGATTTTGACCGTATATACATTGGTTCGAGCATAGCTGGTATCTCACCATTTCATTAAACAAAATATTGAAGAAAGATCAGTCTATGGGACGATTTCTTTTCTTTCTCTCTGTCCTTAGCATGTGAACTTGAGCTTGTCGAGACTTGCGAGAACTTTTTCAGAATCTTGGGGTCTCGAAACTGCTACTGGACTGCAAGCTATAACATATGCTTTTATTTTTAACGGTGAATCATACTATTTGTCAACTTTCGTCAAAATGTGTTTGGCCTTTGTATACTGACAAAGTAACGCATAGTGAAACCCATAAACTAATTAGGTTAATCCGTTACATCAGCTATCGGCAAATATCGAAGATTGGGAACGGAGATTAAAAGAAACACGTGTGCCCAGTTCTCGTTGTTTTTGTGGCTCTTCCATTGGATCCGACGATCCGTCTTAATTATTAACAAGGAAACGTTAAAAGAGCAAGCTGAAAGGTGTAAATGAATAGTTGGGGAAAACCTCTCTTACAATAGGAAGGTGTAAATGAAGGCTACTTTACCTGGTTATTAAGTTTCAATTTCATCTCAATAATTATCTGGTATAAGTTTTGTGATAGCACATATATAGATTAGGTTGAAATTGCCTTGAATAACTAATTTGATTAAATCGAGTTGCTCCATGTCCCAGGGAGAGGTATTAGGCATCTTCTACAGAACTATTGGTAGAGTAATAAAAATAAATTAACTTGTCATCCAAAGTAAGGGTATGAATTAAAGCATGGCCCTTCTAAGACTACGACAATGAGTTCTCAGCTTAATACCAACTCATAAGGAAATAAAATCAAAACACTAAAACTATAAAAGGGTCAGAAGCAATAAGTCTAAACTATATCTATACATTGACATGGTAACAAGATTTTACATCATTATCCATTTACTGTAATTTAACTTGTTATAACAGGTTATTAATCTATTTCTCAAGTTAATCTATCATATTTAATATAGAGAATTACATATTATTGAAAATCAAGTTAACCTAAAAGTATTTATAGAAGAGATTAAATTCTCAATACATATATATAACATAACCTCAAAAGCAATAAAATACATTTTTTCGCCAAATTCAAAAAAATTCATACTGGAGTATAATTTTTCTTTAACAAGAAAAAGCACATTAAGATCTGTAATAACAAGGAAAAAATGTTATTCCTCCTATGGATTCCTACCCAATTAGTCAACCTCCTACCCACGACAAACTATATATAGGAACAAGTATACCAATACAGCCAGCCTGCTTAATTAAACAGCTAATGATTTAGTCAATCTCACCTTCCCCCTTTGTCCCCTTCTATTATCCCAATACCCGTCTCTCTTAGTATACTTATTCTTCGTTTCCACAAACCATCATTCTCTCTCTCCCCCTGGCCCCTTTTAATTCTTCAGAATAAGTCATCAAACATACACAAAACTTGAACATCGATCACTACCAATTATATATAACTTCCTTTTAAAGGAAGATGGGATTCAGGTTTGATTGACGTTACGTTTGTCTATTGATCATATCATAAAGAGATATATATAGTTGCAACTAATAATTAAGACAAACCCCGTACGTGAAGACATCTGAAAAAAAAACGATGGCTTCTTCAGCAAGAAACCATCACTACTTGACGATCGTGATTATAACTTGCTTGATAGCATCATCATCATCGTCAGAACAAGAACCTGAATCAAGTATCCTCCTCAAGTTCAAGTCTTCGCTCGCAAATGCCACCTCAGCACTTGGAAACTGGGATTCAAAGGTCCAACTTTGCAAAGGCAACTTTTCCAATTGGAAGGGATTGATTTGCTACAACGGCAAATTCACCGGTCTCCAACTAGAATCCATGGGATTATCGGGAACCCTTGACATCGACACACTTTCTCAATTGACTTCTTTACGTACTATAAGTGTTATGAACAATAATTTTGAAGGGCCATTTCCGGACGTGAAGAAACTTGGAGGATTGAGAGGCGTCTACTTGTCGAATAACCGGTTTTCCGGTGACTTGCCGGACGATGCCTTCGCCGGAATGAAGTCAATTAGGAGAGTTTACATGGCGAATAATGGTTTTACAGGAAAAATTCCGACGTCATTATTGGAAATTCCGAAACTTGTAGAGTTGCAGCTACAAGATAATCAGTTTGATGGTAGCATACCGGCATTTGGTCAGCAGGATTTCCACTTGAATGTTGCAAATAATAGGCTTGAAGGTCCAATACCAGCTCAACTTAGCAGTCAAAGCTTAAGCTCATTTGCAGGTTAGTTTTTCTTAAAGAAAAATATTCCTCGTTTTGTTTTAAGTTTAAATTATAATACTCTCTTTGTTTCAATTTAAATGACACACTTTTCTTATTAGTCTATTCCAAAAGGAATCACACATTTCTACATTTAGAAACAATTAAACTTTGAACTTTACATTTTACCCAAATAAGAAGCTTTTATAGCCACCAGGGGCGGNGAAAGGGGGTTCACCTCACCCCCTTCACAGAAAAATTACACAATATATAAGCCAAAATCTAGTTTTTATCTCTATATACTATGTTTTGAATCCACTTGATATAGTCCAAAAGCATAGCTTAGTGATTAAGGGAGTTCAAACCCTTTTTAAGGTCATTGGTTCAATCTCCACTAGCTACAATCGTTTTAATTTTTTTCTTTTTTGAACCCCCTTAGCGGAAATCCTGCCGCCGACATTGATAGCCACACAAATATTATGGCCCCACAAAATTTTTACCCCTAAGCTTTTAGGATCACATGTTTCAAAAGTCTTCTTTTCTTTCTTAAACTTTGTGCCGAGTCAAACTACCTTATCTAAATTGAAGCGGAGGGAGTACATGGGTAGTGTAAAAATTTTGTACACAGTCAATTTATTTACTTTGTTATGGGCTTATAGCTCAATTTAATCAATACAGAAACAAACTCATGATAATATAATTAAGGTTAATACAAATTGTTTTATAACTCATGTATAACAGGTACAAAACGAGAGATGCAAATTTTGGTATTTTCAAGCCAACTAATGTGAGTCGCGAAAAATGATTGGCCTCTCTAGTGAACAGCGGTGAACAAAATTTGATTTAAAGAAAAGTAACTACAGAAGAAGTAGATAAGAAAGAAACAAAGTTGTTTTCAAAATATTTACTTAATAGATTAATTAGTTATTCAGAATTTTAAAATGAAAGAAGTCGATGGTTAAAAAATATCATTGAAGAGAGTTTAATTTACGTAAACCAGTTATGCGAAGAAAATTGAGACTATCAAATTAATCAAAAAATATCTACAAATAACTCCTAATATAAAGTAACATTAAAATCTAAAAAATAAAGCATGTCATATATTATTGAGCTTTCCCTTAAATGTTTAATTGTCTAGTTTTTCTTGGCCTAGAAGCTAAAAGGATCTTAAGAATCTCGATTACTCCTAATCATGTCAACAAATCAGCGATGAACTGTAACCTTCCATAATATATAATCTCTCAAAAGTTCTCTATTAAGTCCAAAACCTATTCTTAACTAGTAAGTAGGTATTACCCATATGAATCTCTCTTTAATTTTATTGTGTCCCATGCATCTTTAACTAAGTTTGCAAATCTTAGTTAATTTGATGTATCAGATTTTGAGTACGGAATGATAAAAAAGGAACATGTCATGTAGTTTGGTTATCTTCCTCTGAGAGAGAGAGAGAGAGATGGTGAGAAAGATTAGAGTGATGCATGTAGGCAGACCGGATCACGGTATGGATATAAATGGCATGCACGTTCTAATTAGGTGAAGTCAAATATTGATACCCTCTTGATTTCTTTAGCTCTCATATATTATTATTTATGCGCTAATTTATTCCTTCATCATTTAATAGACGTGGCAATTTAATATTTTTCCCCAGGCAGACTACATGTTTGCACTATTAATTTGACTATTTCTAGTTCATCAATTTAATTAGTGCAAGAATCTAACAATATGATATCGTAGTTTTTTGGTGTCCTCTCGTTAGAAATCGCGCGCGCTAGAGAGCTTCAAACAAGATTCTTATATATTTGTGAATTCCCTCAATTATGTTAATGTTAAAATTTGGACATGTCAAATATCTTTTTCTGAGGGTTTCGATTAATTTTTTAAATGTCTGGTAGGCTGGTATGTATTACTTTCGAAATACAAATATTATCGATCATGAGTATATAATACCACATACAACGTGGGATAATAATTCAACTATTACTTATATTTTGATAATTAAAACAAGTAAAATGATTGCTCTTCTGACAAAGTCCTTTTCTGAGGATTATTTAGGAAGGCTAAAGTTAAAATTGAAAACGAAAGTTTACTTAAGTTTAATTAAATTAGGCTTTTAGATTATACTTCATATATTTCATTTTTAATCCTATGAATCAAATGATTCATAAATAATCTAGAGATTATAAATTGCAGTACTATTACATTCATGCGTGCGTTATAATTTTGTCCACAAACCAGAAACGACTCTGTGTATAGAGTTTGAAATATTGTATACATTTATACTTATGTAAAACTTACTGTGTTCATTTTTTGTGCGGATTCAAACAGGAAATGTGAACCTATGTGGTAAGCCAATGGCAGCATGTCCAGCTTCAAGGGAGGAACAAGACAATCCTCCACGAGGCAACACTTCAAATAAGAAGAAAGGAATCCCAATAGTGGCCATAATTCTAGCAGTCATTGGTGGATTACTCGTAGGAGCCATTATTATTGCTTTCTTTCTTCTCCGCAGGCAAAGGAAAAGACCATGTCAGTATGAAAAATCATCAGTGAAAAATCTAAACAAATCAGAACCAAAGAAACCTTTGAGAGAAGACAAGTATGGAAGAAGTGAAAAGGGAAAGCTGTATTTTGTAAGAAGGGATAGAGAAAAGTTTGATTTAGAAGATCTTCTTAGAGCACCAGCTGAGGTTTTGGGAAGTGGAAGCTTTGGATCTACTTATAAAGCAGACGTTAACATTGGGAAACCTATAGCTGTGAGGAGATTTAGGCAAATGAGTAATATGGGAAAAGAAGATTTTCATGAACATATGAGAAAGCTTGGCAAGTTGTCACATCCTAATATCCTTCCTCTTGTGGCTTTTTATTATAGAAGGGAAGAAAAGCTTTTGGTCACTGATTTTGCTGAAAACGGCAGCTTGGCTAGTCATTTACATGGTAAGTCTCCCATAAAAATTTACAAAATCAAGCAAATATTAATTATGTATAGCAGTTAAGAAATAATGTGGAAATTAATAAGTAATACTATAATAGATGTGAGAATAAATATCAGGTGCGAAAAATTACATTTGTTATGAGTAGTTATCTGATTATATGATCTTATAATATCCGTAGAACTTCTTTTACATTACCAGCATCTAGAATTAGACTCACTTACATTTCTTTTGATTTGAACTATATTTATATGTTGAAAGTTGTTGATCAGGGAAAAGAGGTCCTAAACAACCAAATCTTGATTGGCCAAGTCGTTTAAAGATCATAAAAGGAGTATCAAGGGGATTGGCTTACCTGTACGAGGAGCTTCCAACATTGACACTCCCACATGGACACCTTAAATCCTCCAATGTTGTATTAGACCACAACTTTGAGCCACTTCTAGCAGACTATGCACTTGTGCCAGTCATCAACAAGGACCATGCCAAACAGTTTATGGTGGCCTACAAATCACCTGAGTACATGCAAAATGAACGTCTCACTAGGAAGACTGATGTCTGGAGCCTTGGCATCCTCATCCTCGAGCTACTAACTGGCAGGTAATATTCCATGTCCATTTATAATAAGTTTGTGCTTTTTGCAACATCAATTAGTAAATTAGTAGTAATTAAGAGTTGACTTATATAGACCGTCATTTTTAATAATTGTTACACTAAACTTGTTCTAGCATGCATGTTGTTAGTGCTTATTTTTCATGTAACAAGTTGCTTAATTAGTTGCAGTTGTAAGTCTGAATTACATCCATCATGTTATATATGTCCTTAACATATAGGTTCCCAGCCAATTATCTGAAACAAGGCAAAGGTGCAAATGCAGACTTGGAAGCATGGGTGAACTCAGTGGTGAGAGAAGAGTGGACAGGCGAGGTTTTCGACAAGGATATGAATACAAAAATCAAACATAATAGTGAAGGTGAAATGCTTAAGCTCTTGAAGATTGGAATGTGCTGTTGTGAAATGGATGTTGGAAGGAGATGGGATTTGAGGGAAGCTCTAGAAAAGATTGAAGAATTAAAAGAAAGGGATACTGAATATTTCTTCTAATTATGCCATCACTGATGAGGATTTCTCCTTTACTAAGAAGGGTTAAACAATTTGCTTTGAGAATTAAATATACACATTTATACTTACAATTCAAGGAGTTGTGAAAGGTAGAATTTTGTGTAAAAACCAAATCATTTTCTTTTTTATTAAAGGTATTAGATATGTGAAAGTTCGAAATTAAAGGAAGCTCAAATCCCATGTCTTCGTGGATACTTTTTTTTCTTTTTCTTTTTCTATTGGATTTTATATATATGGATACTTTGTATGAGGTTTTGGAGTATATATTTGTTCTTCCGTGTTAGAGAATGATCTACTTTACTTTTGGTATCAGTCTTTATTTGTTTCACTTAGAATTGAGCACCTCTCAAATGCAAATGAAATGAAATGAAATTGTAACTACATTTTTATTTTGCCAAATAACTACTTTTGTGGCCAAGTTTAAGCTAAATTGAGCTTGAAATTCGGCCTTGCTCAATGTTAAGATTTGGATAAGAGAAGAAATAGCAGGACTGAAAACTTTACTTTTCATCTGTTTATACATGGTATTAATAGATACAGAGTATAAGATTAGTTACAAATCTTATCTAGAGCAGTTAACAATTGCTACATGATCTTATCAAGACCTATAATACAAAATTCAAATATTTACTGTTAAAAAAATACAGCAGATATTATTGAATTACTATCCTTGATGACGTGGAGTATCAGTAGCCTTAACACTCCCCCGCAAGATTGAGGATCCGTCGTGGATGCCAATCTTGGACCGATTCAATATGAATAGTTGCTTGGATAGCGGTTTTGTAAGCAAATCAGCAAGCTGATCTTTAGATGAAACATGTGACACGCGAAGATCCCCACGTTGAACTAAATCACGTACAAAGTGAATGTCAATTTCCAGATGTTTCATTTTGGAGTGAAGTACCGGATTTTGACAAGTACACATGGTAGATATATTATCACAGTAGATTGTTGGCATGGGAACTGAATACCCGAGTTCACCAAGGAGAGATTTAACCCATTGAACTTCCGCAGCTGCTGAAGCAACCGCTCGATATTCGGCTTCAGTACTTGAGCGTGCCACTGTTCTTTGCTTCTTAGAGCTCCAACTGATTGGAATTTTGCCAAAATATAATAAATACGCAGAAGTGGAAGTTCTATCAGATGGATCACCGGCCCAATCTGCATCAGAATAAGCATGGAAAACTGGCTTTGGCTGAGGTGTAATATTGATACCCAAATGGATTGTGGACTTGAGGTATCGCAACAACCGTTTGAGAGCTTGCCAGTGAGAGTCACTCGGACAATACATAAATTGAGATAGCTTATTGACAGAGAAGGCAACATCAGGTCTAGTTAGACTTAGGTACTGTAACCCGCCAATCAACTTACGATACTCGGTAGAATCAATGGCCTTTGTATTAGGAGAAGATTTAATTAAAGGAGAGGTCGTTGCCATAGGCGTGGTTACTTCTCTAGCACCGTCCATGTGAGCAAGTTGAAGAAGCTTGCGAACATAATGATGTTGAGAGAGAAAAATTCCTTGAGATGTCTTCTGGACATCAATTCCAAGGAAAAGAGATAATTCGGTTGGATCTTTTAAGGAAAACTGAACTCCAAGGGATTGGATGAACCGAGATATAAAATCCGAATTGTTTCCTGTCACAATCAAATCATCAACATATGCTAGAAAGTAGCAACAGATGGAACCTTGCCTAAAAATAAAAAGAGAGTGATCACTCTGAGATGCTTGAAAGCCATATTTTAAAGTGAATGATCTCAACGCTTGGTACCAGGCCCGAGGTGCCTGTTTGAGGCCATAAATAGCCTTTACTAACTTGCAAACATGAGTAGGCTTGGTAGGATCGACAAAATCAGGAGGTTGCTTCATATAGACATCTTCCTGTAGTGGACCGTGTAGGAAGGCATTGTTAACATCGAGCTGAAGCAGGGGCCATGAATTATTGACAGCTAATGTCAGGACTACCCGAATTGTAACCGGTTTTACCACAGGGCTGAAGGTGTCACTAAAATCAATTCCCGATCTCTGATTGAATCCTTTAGCAACTAAGCGGGCCTTGTACCGCTGAACAGAGCCATTTGCAGTTCTTTTAATCCTGAAAATCCACTTACAACCAACCAAATTTTGATGAGATTCATGAGGAACAAGGACCCAAGTACCATTCTTAAGTAAAGCATTAAACTCCTCTGACATTGCAGACCGCCACTGAGAATGAGACAGAGCTTGAGTAACATTAGTTGGTTCTGGTACTTCAGGCAATGGATGTTTGGTGGCTTGGTGAACAGTTTTGGGTTTGAATATATTATTTTTGGATCTGGTAACCATGGGATGTTGATTTTGAGTTGAGGAAGATAACGTTGAAGGTGGTGGGTGAGGAGAAAGTGTAGTTGGAAAAGTTGACTCATCTTGGGAAGATGTTGAGGGAGATACATTAGGAGCAGAAAGATGTAGATTAGGAAGTGAAGTTTGTTTGGAAGAAGGTGAATTAAAAGGAAATATGACATGTTGTGGATCAGCTGAAGGAATATTAAACCAAGTAGAAGAGGATAAGGACTCTGAAGGTGTTTGAGACTGAAAACGAAAAGTATTTTCAACAAATAAGACATGGCGGGATATATGAAATTTTTTACATTTGAAATCATAGCAAATATATGCACTTTGGTTGAGATAATATCCAAGAAATATGCAGGAGACAGATTTGAGGATACTCCACGTCATCAAGGATAGTAATTCAATAATATCTACTGTATTTTTTTTGGTAAGGATTTGAGCTTGTAAAGTGAATGGTCAATTTGGTCTTTGACTAGAATCTCCCCCGTGAATTGATCCTTTATAAGAAAAAAATCAGAAAAAAATTCAATTGATACTTGATTTGAACCGCAAAATTGAGAGACTGAAATAAGATTTGTTTGGGAAGATGGGACACAAAGAACGTTGGTTAGATGATATTTTTGGATGGTAAAGACACAATACCAGAACCAACATGTGTAATCGACAAACCTGAACCGTCTGTGAGATGCAACTCATCATTTCCATCATATGGCGCATGAAGAGAGAGATTTCTCAAGTCATTGGTTATGTGATGAGAAGCCCCAGTATCAAGAAGCCATTGGGAGTCCGAGTTCGAGTTTGTTGTGGAGTGATGAGCCTGTGGACTTTGTGAAAATAGATCTGAAATAGTCTCTAGCCCGAAAACACTTCTTGACATGGTGACCATATTTGTCACAAAATTGACACTGCACCTTTGGTTGAGTGCTGGAATTTCGGTGGTGGGATGAGGGCACAGAGGACTGATGACGTGATGCATTAGTGCCAAAGCTTGAAGAGTTCTCTGAAAACTGAAAACCATTGGATTGAAATTGAGTGGAAGGTTTACTATAATTACCTTGCCTTGATTGATAGGGTGGCCTGCTAGAATTTCCCTTGCGAACATGATTTGATGTCACAGGGGTCGGATCGAAGTTGTGGTCAATCTGCTTGAGATATAGTTCATGGGCAAGCAGTTTATCCTGGAGTTCATCAAACGAGATGACAGAGTCTCGGGCATGGATTGCCGCAGCAATATCACGGAATTCAGAGCCAATTCCACCCAAAACATGAACAACAAGATCAACATCGTTTACAGGACTGCCACATAAGGAGAGTTCTTCCGCAATTGACTTGACAAGTTGAAGATACTCAGCAACTGGGCGAGAATCACGCTTGGTGCGTGAGAGTTTTTCTCGGAGAGAAAGAATTCGTGTAGCCGATTTATTGGCAAAGGCTACCTGAAGTTTATTCCATGCCTCCGCTGAGGTTTTAGCATCTGCAATGGTGTTCATAACTGAGAAAGAAACCGAAGCAATGATAGCAGCGAGGATTAACTGATCTTGACATTCCCAAAACTCATAGTCTGGGTTAGCGATACTTCTGCCTTCTTCTTCGATGAGACTAGGAAGAGGAGAAATAGTACCAGTGACATAACCCATTAGGTTATGTCCTCGAAGAAGAGGAGTAATCTGAGCACGCCATGTAGAGTAATTTTGGGTTGAAAGTTTTAATGGAAGTTGAATACCATTGATTGCAACTAGTGATTTGCCAGAGACATGAGTGATATTATTAGTGCCGGATAAAGCCATAGTTTTACCAGAAATGTTTGAGGAAAAAAAAATAATGAAGACGGATCAATGCCCTGATACCATGCTAAGATTTGGATAAGAGAAGAAATAGCAGGACTGAAAACTTTACTTTTCATCTGTTTATACATGGTATTAATAGATACAGAGTATAAGATTAGTTACAAATCTTATCTAGAGCAGTTAACAATTGCTATATGATCTTATCAAGACCTATAATTATGGTAATATAAAATTCAAATATTTACTGTTAAAAAAATACAACAGATATTATTGAATTACTATCCTTGATGACGTGGAGTATCAGTAGCCTTAACACTCAACTGATTACAACTCGATCCCAGCATCCATTTAAGCTAAGTACGATCACCAACAATAGTAGCATCAGATCACGTGGGGGCACGGTCGCATATTATTTCCAGAGTTGTAGCTTTCCCCTATGCCAATTCTTTTACTTCCACCTAGTGGCGGAGGCAGGATATTTGTGAAGGGAATTCAAAAATATAGAAGAATAAGAACTGTGCTCAATGGGAATTGAACCCGCAACCTTTTAGAAAATTTGAACCCCTTGATCCCCTAAATTCGCCCTGCTTCCGCCCTTATTACTCCAAGAAAGCATATACCTATTAATTACTCATTTAAGGAAGAGAAGGATAATTTAATCAAATACAGTAGTACTACTTATGATTATTGCTGTTAAAGAACCGGAAGGAGTAGATGATTGACTAGAGAGGGACCAAAATTGCACAGTTGGATTTATTAACAACCAAATGTGGTCAGTTTAACAATACAAGAATTTCAAAATCGAAATAAAGGGAATAATACATTAAGGACCAAAATTGTTATTTTCTCTATTATATATGGATGGAGATGTACAATTCCTTGTTATGCTATAAAACATTCAGTTTAAGTTTTTCTTTCCTTCTATTTTTGGTTCTTTCCCTCGAGAACTGTAGAACTATTCCCTCCTTGTCGTATACCTCCACGCTAATCTATTAGGAGACTGGCTTCATGATGTGCTTCTCGAGCTCTCAAAGACATATTACATCTTGTTTGAGTAGCTTAGGTTTTCCTGCATGAATTTTGGTAAAACTGTGTCAGGAACATATTAATTCCAATATAGCAGAATATGTGAATCTAGTATGTCCACAAAAAGTCATACCACTACAAAAAATTTTAAGTGTTCGTCGAAGATCTAATGCTGTTAATAAGCTATTCATGTTGGCTAGCCTGGGACACGGAAGCTTGGCTATGATTTGTTGAGTAACCTGAACTATACAAGGCTGATTGGCATGGATTTTCTTCTCCAAGTGTTCTCAATCTCTCTAATTCTGGCATAATAACCTTGCTGAGATCCGGTCTATCTTTCCTTCTTAGCTCAGAACATTTCAGTGATAACTTAGCAAGGTTCAGAGCCTCATCAAGGGGCCAATCAGGAACGGATGAATCAAGCATCTCGTTGAAGGTCCCTTTTTCGATTGCCCTTTCAACGTGGTGAGTTAAACCCATCGGTGATTTGGCTGTTAGTATCTGCAAGAATATGATACCTAAAGAATATACGTCGGATTTTATACCAAGCATTCCCGTTTGCTGATATTCGGGGTCTATATAGCAGAAAGTTCCAGCTGTTGATGTCATTCGGTACTGAGTGACGCTATCTGCCACTGATGGAGGGACAAGCCGAGCCAAGCCAACATCACTAATCTTACTGACAAAGTTGCGATCAAGTAGAATATTTGCAGGTTTTAGATCACGGTGCACTATTGGTTCTGGTTTGCTCTGGTGTAGGAAAAGCAGACCGGCACCTATTTCAGCAGCAATTCTAAATCTCTGCTGCCAAGAGAGTGGTGGAGTCTTTCCTCGCTGGAATAGACGGTCTTCTAAGCTTCCATTGGACATAAACTCATATACTAAGCACCCATATTCAGGACATGCTCCCAGAAGAAGAACCATATGAGGATGTCGTATGCAGCTCAATACTTCAACCTGCAATGAAAGAAGAGGGTGAGAGAAATTAGGGGCTATGCCACATATGCAGTTCTGTTATGAATGGGAAGATAGAATATGAATGTGAAACAGAATTCTTGTGTCCTTATTACCAACTTATATTTTAGATTACATGCCATCAATTCTTAGTTCTACCTTTACGATGCATCTTTTCTTGTTTGCAGCCTAAGCAATTATTGAGTAGTAATGGATGCTAATTAGTAATTGTATAATTGTCCTGCGGTGTTCAAAATAGTCCAATGCCGTCAACATACCAATCAATTATGGGATGAGACATCATCACAACTACGTGACTATGCCACCATTCATCTTGTTTTAATTGAACTATTTTCACTGTAACTCAGTTTCCTGTTGCATGCTGACAGTTGTAGTTTACATCAATCAAACAACTACGCATCAATTCCAAACAAAAGTCATGGAGATTGCTACATGGGTAATTTCAGCATAGCTTTAATGGGCTCTCAGTAAGAAATCAGACATGTTTGTATCAGGGAACACAATTATTCTTCTTAACTACTACTCCAAGAATAAATAAGAATTTTTTACTTTATACCTCTTGCTGAAACTGTTGTCTTCCGTGAGCTGCATCAGGACGAAGGACCTTAACCGCAACAGGTGTGTGGTCCATGTAACACTTATACACTGGCCCATAACCGCCTTCTCCAATTTTATTAGCTTGTGCAAAGTAGTCTGTTGCAGTTTCAATCTCCTCTATCGAATACCTCCTATACCTGAAATCTGAATTTGAAAGTTTATTTAGTACCTTATTTCTCTCTTCTGCTTCTTTCAGAGCTTTCATTTCTGCATTAATTCTCTTCTGAGCTTCTAGTTCTGCAAGCCTCTGAGCTGCCTCTGCGTGCTCAAGGGCTGCCCTAGATTTTGCCTTCTCCTTCTCTGCAAGTGCTAATGCAGCTTCCTCTGCAAATCTTGCCTCTTCTAGTCTTCTCTGTTCTTCTGTTTTCCAGCGCTGGAGTTCCATCGCCTACAATTGAGAACATATTAGGTAATTGATGCAATCACAAAGGTGCACAATGGGTTGGAATTTGTCGTACCTTTTGTTGTGCTGTGAGTGCTTCCTTGCAAGCTGTACTATACATTTCCATTGTTTGCTTGAGCTCCAGTTTCAGCCTTCTCATTTCTGCTGCTACGTCATCCTATAAATGAAAGGAAAGACCTTAAGTTTGCAGGCATTTGTAACCTTGTATATTTGGAGTAAGTATTATGCTTAAATGGAAAATGGAAGAAAAAGTGTAGCAATTTTGTTCTTAGTATCTATAATTTCCAAAAGCTCAAAAAGTAGAAACCTTTGATTGCCTACCGGTGTGGAGGAGAATGATGCTCTATCACCCTCCATTGAAAGGAATGACAGTTCTGATGGCATGATGTCCAAGGATCGGCGTCCCAAGGGAATGGGTTCAAAATTTTGCGCCTCAAAATCGGAGAAGCCTGATAGCCGGGGAGGGGTTGCTCCACTATCGTAGTTGTCAGCAAATGAAGGAAACATATTGTCAATACTTGGCCTACCAGAACTGACAAATGATATGTCAGTATCTGGCTGAGAGATCTCATATGGTTTGCCATTTGGGCCTTTCCTATGAGTGAAAGGAGACCTGTTTACAACAGTGATATACAACTTAGGCCTCAGAATGAAAAAACTATGCAACATTTTATGGCCAGTAATTACGAAATTTTAGAGCTCACATCAGTGCCTATTGCTCACTGTCCTTACTAAGCAGCTGATGACTGTACCTAAAACATGACACATTTGGGTAACATAGTAAAGATAGTTTGACTTACTTCATGTTAAGTGTATCACTCTGAAGGTTCGACATGGGCAGATCAGATACAGGCTTCGGAATCCCCGAAAGAGAACCTTTACGAAACATCATAGAATTAGCTTTGCACGATGAAATGAACTTAATTGAAGAATTTTCTTCTAGCATTTTACATACCTCTGGAAGGAGTGTTCAGTGAATCCTCAACGGTATTAGATTTGGCATTGCCCTGCTGCATGAACTGGTGACGCAGTGGGTGGATAAATGGTGCGAGGCGAGAAGCAGATCGTGTAGCTGAAATCTTTCCATTTTTGGAGATGACATACACAGTGCAGAAATCTGGAACCCCTTTTACCACGTTTCCAGGAATATCTTTGACTTTAAATCTTCTGTGTAGAAAGGCTACTAAAATTAGACATTCTGAAGACGTTCTTCTATTCAAATAAGAACCATAAACTAGAATATGATCCTTATCAGAATAGAGCAATTAATATTTCTCCTCAATGAAGCTCAAACAAACATGACCAAACATAAATATATAAATGCAGACACAATTATTCGTTTTTCTACTTCGCCAGCTTCCGAGATACGATTGGGATCATGTTTGTTGTATAGCTTCAGGTAACTAAAATTATGACTTTCCAAATGATACAAGTTACTCCTCTAGGTAATTGCCTCCATCCAAGAGATAGATCATATCTGGTAGTCCCTCCGTCCCAATATTTTTGGCCCCTTTCCAATAACTGCAACTCGCCATGCAAAGAACGAGTCATACCTGAGAAGACCGCCTTTTGCTGCAGCACCAAGAATTAATACTTCTATTGCTGTTCGATTCACATATTCAACGATTGCTTTGACTACATCGACGTCCTCTAACACAACATCATGACATTGTATCTGTTATTTATTGATGATCAGAAGAATCAATATTAGAAAGGTTAAGGAAATTACAATGGGAAATAACAACTTTAAATGCTAAAGATTGATTCTCAAAATGTGTGTGTGGGTTCATCAGGAATTTGTTTGAAGTTTCGAGCTTGAATACTAACATCTTTACGAGTACAAAATACTCGGAAAGGAAGAAAGAGTTCCTTCAACTGCGGATCCAATTCAATCATTCCTGATCCATCGTTGCTAGCGTCAGACATCTGGTTTAATCCTGATATGTGAAAGTACACCAGTTACTCCTTTGCTACTGTGTCACAAAATACACTCCAGAGAGAAATAGTCCTCAATTTTCCTTTCTCCACTTTTTAATTGGAATTATAAAAGCGATCAAGGTGCAGAAAGAAGTAGCAAACTTATCATCTTA